TGGTTCCTCGTGTTTTATTCTCCAGGGTTCTGGTTCACTCGTGTTCTCCTCACTCTCCTCTTTAACAAACACCATCTTCACAGCAGCAGATCTCAGTTCAGATGATACTCCTCCAGATATTCCTGCTTACTAGAAAACTTAATCACGACTGTGAGGATGACAATATTACAGGTATTTACTGACCTGATTCAAAAACTGTATTTTTCTATTTATAGAACGTGCATTTCTAACAGTTTGTATTAAAACAGCATCAAGACAAAACAACAGAGCTCATGGAGAAATGAATCTTCTTCCTCTGAGGTTTAATGGTGTTTGGTGAACAATCATATGTGTTTTAGCGCCACCCGCTGGACTGGAGTGTGAAGAGTCAAGAAAATAATATGGAAAATAATACGGGCAAAATTACTTACTGTGTACAAGGTGCGCTGTGTTTTCTTTAAAAAAAAGCCGATCTGCACAAATAAATGAAAAGAACTTAAAATTATAGACTCGCATAGTATTTGATCATCATCAACAGTTTTCGTGAGTGAGGATTAGAAGAGAAAAAAGAGTGACTTATTAGTGACATGTTTCACTGAAAATCACACAACATTGCAGCATGTAAATATGGAAATTAAGATCAATGAAAACACGTGATAATGATAAGATAATAAACAAAAAATTAAAACTACCTTTTCCCCAAATAATCTTAATACCCTAGAAAGAAAAAAAGTTTAAACAAAAATACAGGGTCTGAACTAATTCCCTGACTAACCGAAAAACAGGAGAAAACGAATAGGTTACAGAAAGAAATTACACCCGACCCCTATAGCTTCCGTGCTGAAATGAAGTGATATGTACAATATTTACAACAACAAGCGAAAACAATCAGTCACGTTAAAAAAGAAAAAAAAAGCAATCTGTTGAACACTTTACAAAAAAAAAACAAAAAACTACGAAACACTTTGTGGGTAAAGTGAACAGAAAATAAAAAGATCAAACCGAGTTCACAATATTTACACAAAAAGTCACTATACAGAGTTTATCTTTCTTTTCTTAACAACAATCAGAATTTCAGCCAGCAACAACATCCCACACCCAGATCAGCCTCGCTGTGTTTTTGAAAGATGCCCAGTTCCAGCCTCGACCAACCACGGGGCACGTACCGGCACGATCAATTAGGGCGGGTCCATCTGTGAGAACGACAGAGAGAGAGAGAGAGAGAGAGCAAGAAGGAGAGATGCATAGACACCACATACATCTCAACCTAACACCCCCACTCGTAAAAGTCAAAATCCCATTTTGACAAAAACAATCAACAACATTTTATTGTTTCTTCACGTTCTAGAAAGTATAAGTGAAAGCTTTGGATGTGCTCAACAAATCTGTCAAAGGGGACACGACAAGAGGAGAAATTTTTGCAGAACCCACGGTAATATCCGACCATACCAAGAAAACGGCGCAGTTCTCTTTTAGACTTAGGGATGGGAAAATTCACAATTGCCTCAACTTTGGCATCCCGCACCTGTCCTTGCCCAACCTGCTTACCCAGATAAGTGACCACAGCTTTCCCGAATTCACTTTTTTTTAGATTCACTGTTAAAGATGCTTTGGCCAACCGCGCAAACACTTCATGCAGAGAGTTCCTGAGGTCCCTCCATGAGCTAGAGTAAATTACCACATCGTCAAGATATGCTTTGCAGTTTGCCACACCAGATAATACTTTCCGCATCAACCTCTGAAAGGTTGCGGGAGCATTTCGCATCCCAAAAGCCATCACGGTGTACTGAAGTAAGTTATCTGGCGTTACAAATGCGGAGACATCTGAGGCACGCTGCATAAGTGGCACCTGCCAGTAACCCTTTAATAGATCTAACTTGGTTACAAAGGATGAGCAACCAACATGATCAACACAGTCCTCCATCCTAGGCAATGGGAAAGAGTCTGGCTTTGTGACACTATTCACCTTTCTGTAATCTGTACAAAATCTAAACGAACCGTCCGGCTTCGGCACTAGCAGGCATGGCGAGCTCCACGGACTCGAACTGGGAACTGCTAGCAATCTACCTCCTTCCTCATCTCCTCTCTCTTTCAGGGATTAACACGATAAGGATGCTGTTTAATTGGTGATTTCGATATCATGAAACAGAACGTGGGTCTGACTGGGGCTGTCTGAAAAGAGAGAAGATAATTTCTGAATAAGATAAACAACATCTCTGCATTGAGATTGTGGAAGATAAGACAAATGTTCTTCTATATTTTGCAATATTTCAGAATTGAACAGTTTACTGTTGGACATAATTTCAGTGGCCACCAGTCCATCATCCTCAGACACGACAACAGAGGGCAGAGGAGTAACTGTCACTACAGGTGCCACATTCACAGAGGGTTTAACAGACGTTGTACTACTCACGTAAGATTTGAGCCTGTTAACATGACAAACACGACTTTTTTTTCTATGCTCAGGGGTACGAATCAGATAATTTACCTCACTTAATTTCTCTTCCACCACATAGGGCCCTGAAAACTTAGCCTGCAGTGCAGAACCTGGAAGTGGAAGAAGAATTAGCACCAAATGTCCTGGCTGAAAACTTCGTGCTACACAGTTCTTGTCAAAACGTTCTTTCATGTGAACTTGTTTTGAAGCCAAATTTGATTTAGCAATTACCCACATGTGATGTAAGCACTCACGCATTTGAGTCACATAATCACACACTGTCACAGGCGACTATGTTTCCAGTAACAACTGTTCTCTTAACAGTTTCAGAGGCCCACGCA